TTTCTGGCCAATGGATCCCAAGTATTTTGCATAGACAGCTGTTAATGAATACTTGCTTTCCGAGTTTCCGTCCCATACAGTGGAATTGTTTTGACATTTGTAATGAAAATTGTGATCAAGATTCATAATCGAGCTAGTGGGAGATTCTCTCTACTTACTATGATTTTTGGCTCAGCACAGGGTCCTAGAGAAATAGTCTTGAGATTGCAGACATCCTCGGTTAAATTTCCTGCTCTGGTACGAGCCAGGTAAACATGAGCAGTTACCAGATCATCAACAGACACTCAATATCCGATCATTATGATGGTTCACAGTAAGCATTAGCTGGTTTGTAGTCGGTTGGATGAAACTCATGCACTTGATATGCAACAATGGGAGTGGCTATCACGTTGCATAGACTTTCGAACATTCAAGGCTATTGGCTCTTCCTGGTCGCCTATTAGATCTCCGCGTCTCATGACTGTGAAATTTAGAAATCGGAAAGACCTACTTGAAGAGCTTCAGACTTGGTACAGTACAAAGAATATTCTCTCTAGTCATGTCGGGTGTTGTGAGAGTTGACCTTAATTAGTGAGACAATAACAGGGAGGACAATTAAGGCACACGCTAATTTCAGTGTACCTCGATTAACAACCGACGACGCGAAGAGCGAAATCTAGGTCTCACAGATTGAATTCAAAAAACCTACAGCAGCTGTTCTTAGAGAACTGGCCAAAACCCCGAACAGCTTGTTAAGTAAATTGAAAACGGTTGATGCAGCAGGTGAAACAACCTATCAAGCATTTTTATAGCAGTGTAAGAGTTCTGAGAGTTAAGCTTGTAGAGATTAGAAGCATATGCTATCAAATAGACCTGAACATCACAATCCTATCTGAAACATGGCTATTCCCTGACAATGCTAACGAATAAAATAAGCTTAGAAGGTATGACACTTGCGATTCCATAGTTTTCGTTAAACAGGAAGAAGAGTGGCTACATTTCAAAGCCGTTCCATTACACAGAAACATACTAACCGTCTAGGTTCTATAAACGATTCAATCTGCTTAATGAATCTAAAGTAGTCGCGAGGTTTGCCGTCAAAGAATGAAAGTTCAACCTTAGGTAATTCTAAGCCTACTATCGGTGTCCTAAGCATCTGATCCTTCTCTGGTACCTTAGAATTCTCACCCAAATTTTGTTCCTTAATGCCTTCTAAGGGTGACTTACAATAATAAGTATCAAACATAACATCATCACGAGTATAGAGGGAACCCATTAAACAAGAATCATTAACGACTTGCCTAGCATTTCGGGATTCTTCATGCTCTTCCACCCTCTTCGTGTTTGTTTTCTTGCGGCTGCTCATGTTTAATTGAAGTTCAACGGAAGATAAATAACAAATACAAAATATAGAAATTCCACCGGTAAATCCTCAATAAAAATCCAAAAGGACCAGAAAATCGTTTCCAAAATACAGTTCGATCACAAAAAAAACGATAAGTAATCCAAAGTTCTTCTTCCAAGAAGTTTAATATTATAAACGATTAAAATTCCAAATGTTTCCTTATTCTTCTTAATAATCAGACTGTAGTAGGCTTGTTCTTCTAAATCGTTAGACTGTAGTTGGATTTTCTACCGTAGCAGTTCAATTCGATTCCAATAGACGTATGTTGAACGCACCTTCCTCTATTCGAATATCAAAACACAATAATTCTAGGAGAAAGTGGTCTATTTATATAGAAGAAATGGAAATACAAACGTTACCTAACGATTTTTACGTCTTCCAATTCGAAATTACTCTGATGAGTATCCAGGTTCCAGAGACTAGGTGAAACTCGTATACTGCGACGATATCAAATCCAAAAATGTGGCTGTAGCCATATTATATCAAATTTAAACAACATGTGTACAGTTCAGAAGCAAACATAAAAACTTCAATATAAGTACAAAATATAGAAATAATAACAATATACAATGATAAAATATCAAAATGGAATCAAATAAAATGACAAAATGTCAACAGAAAGAGTCCCTCATGTCATGACTAAAATATATAAACATGGAGGGATTTTCCAAAAAACAAAACATTCAAAAAAGATTCTGCAACCATTATGATAAAATCATGTTGCTGTCCATTCAAAACAAACGATACGGAATACGCTACCGGAAGCAGTTATGATGAAAAACACTGGAATTTGGATCATTTGATAACAAATAGTTAGGATGTTCATCTACGCAAATCAGTAGAAAGTAGTGACTGTGGCACAGTTATGATTAGGATGCTCATAGAGGAAACGCGTCCTACATATGCAAGACTGAAGCAAACTACACGACTGTGGAAAAGGATTGTTAGACAGGAGAAGAGTGGAGGCACAGACCAGATGATCTCTGGCAAGTAGTGACGGACATCAGTTTGAACGCTGCCCTACATATTGTACCTCAGGTGGACCACCCACCTGAAAAGAGATTCACTGGCAAATTTTGAAGCGATCAGTGCTCTACCAGTTGAGGCTAAATTACAGGCAAATCTGATCTTTGTTTATAGGAACTAAAAAACCTACGAAACTAAGTGTTTGTCATCCAAAAGGTTTAAACGGTCAAAATCTTACTGACAGCTGGCTGAGGTCTTTAATTTCGTTCACCAACTCGGAGTGCATCTCAAATCCAGTGCTAGTCAATGGCCTGGGGACTAGCCGGCTTACTCACTGCTTAGCATTTAGAATACTCAAATCTCCGAGCTCATGAAAGTTACTAGGACCTGATAATATCGGTCCCGAAATCATTAAACGTTATTTGGTGGCCAGCAGTTCATCTGCACATAACCTATTCAGGTATTTGCGGGCGTCACATCAGCTTCTAGCCTAATGGATACAAACTAATGCCTCCAAAGATATAGATTGCTACAGATCAGTCTGATTACCACCAACAGCATCGAAGTTAGTAGAAGGACTGGTAAATGAACAAGAACATCATCGTTCATGAAGCCCGACATTGGTTTAGGAAAGTCAGATGGTGCAAATCCAAAGTTCTCATAGCATGAGACAGTTAGAGAATCTGTTTGGACAAATATATATTAGTCCATGTAATATCCCTTGACTTGGCATAAGCTTTCGATACAATACCTCACTTACTCCAAAGTGCGATGGTTTCGAAGATAAACTTCACTGATTCTCTGTTATCTTTATTCAGAAACTTCCTTGAGAACAGGAATATTAGTACACACATGAATAGAGTGCACGGAAGCTGGCGACTGTCAACAACAGGAACTCACATGAAACGATTTGGGTCCATTCCTCTTTCTGAAACTTAACAATGACTTGTTAAACAACGTTAACTCGGTGGTATGATTCTACAGACATTATAGGAAGATCTGAAGTAACAATGGGGAGAGCTGTATTAAAAATTCAAACGGACGTTACAACTGTAGAGGAATGGGCAACTTAACCAAATGTCACGTGATTAGGAATTCCGTTCCAAGCGACGCAAAAAATTTTCATACTAAATCTAATTCCCTCTGGTGATGTCTCCTGAGAACGTAATCTCTGTCTCTTGATCAAAAGGAGTGTGGACAAAACTTCAATAAAGATGAACGTTACTCTTCATTTTATGCGGGGATATTTTGCTGCACTCACTGCTATTCTCAAATAATTGCACCCTGAAGAGTAAACACCCAGGTATGTGTGTACTTATTCTCACTTAATTTTGTCCCTATTTGGAATTCTTTTGCACCCGAAGTGACCCTATCCTACTCAGTGGATAGTTTCAGGAAGAAGCTTAACAAATTAATACTTGCTCAAAGATGATGATCTTCCGCTCTTACTAGCGGTGTCTGATTTATATCTTGAAACACGTCCGTTATTTTCATTATCACTTCCTCAGATTAGTAACTTAGTATCTGAAGCTTATTATGGTAATTTCCTCTCCTTCGTTTACACTTCTGCTCCCTAACATTATGTTCACTATAAATTAAACAACTTATTGATATATTTTCTTAGTTCTGAAATCTTTTTTTACCTATAGTATTTTCTCTTCATAATTCTCTACCTTGCCATTAACTTATCTTCAACCTGCTAAAGTGATTTCTACTGGTTTACAGAAACCCTACTGTTCGAGACAGACGCACTCACTCAATAACGTAAATTCAAAAAGAAATAACTAAATTTGGTGTAGTTGAATGTCTAAATTATATCTTTTTGACATTATTAATAACCTGAAATTGTATCGTAACATCAAGAATCCTGCGCGAAGAAATCAACTAAATTTTACAATCTCGTGGTAAAATTGTATATTAAATCTGAAAATTATTCACATAAGATTTCGTTCGTATCACTCTATATGCTAAAGACCTTAAATCGTCAAGGTTGCTAAGCGGGGCAATTTGAGCGTTTGTAAGAAGATGTGCTTTTTATCCTGATCCTACTGTTGCAATCAATTCTTACACAATGTTAGCTTACAACCTGCTTATCAGGTTCCCGACATCAGGAAACTGTTATTCACTCAAGTTCACCAAAGATATCACTGTGTACGATTTATGTCATGAAGTCCATTCTAAAATTAGAGAAGCTGCTTGCCTAAATCGTACGTTTATAAGCGATCAACCTCAAATTTTCTCTTTAGCATCAGAATATGGAATCTTTGTACCAGACCCTGACCCCAAGCATTCTTTTTGGTTAGACAATTCAAGAATGCTCTCTTATTACCATTTTTGTGATAATGCAAGTTTATGTTACCAAAGTTTGATTTGTCTTAGTTTGAGGTTCAATATCGTTCCAAGCTTCGTCTTCTTGTTATACAAACAATGGATGAAACAAGAAAAACGTTGCAGGTAGATGATAGCAAGACCGTTGCGGAACTTATGTTTACTGTTTGCGCAAAATTGGGTACGTTCACTAAAGTTATAATTTTCTGATCTAGGTGTGTTTGATGTCGTACATCAAAAAGATAATATGCACAATAGTTTTTGGAAACAGGGTGGTATTTCCCATCGCATCTTCACTGCAAATCCTTTTGCTTATGACTATTAGATTTGAGTTCGTATGACTCGTTAATAAGTGTATGTGACTGTTAACCGCATGCTTCAGAAGGAAATACGTCACTTATATTCAGCCGCATCCAAATGTGACCCATTTTTAGATCATTATCCTACTGAGTTTGTGAAATAGGATTTGTATTGTCTGTAAAATAAAACACTATGAGTCTTCGTAATTTTAACTTTTTATTAACGTATGAAATAGCTCTGTAACCCTTAATTCACAAGCAAACCATGAAAAAAGTAATTCACATTACTTTGTTTGCTATGTTCTTAAATTATGTGAATTATGTGGTGCTCTAATATATGAATTATTCCCAAAGTAGCACAAGACAGTTTGCACCTCTTTAGGCTCACACGACCTTATCTATAAATCGCCGTCCTCATAGTGAATGTAGGTGGAATTCAAGTCCTAAATTGTAATATATTTTCACTGGAAAGTATTATCTACGTTCTTTTTTAGTGTTAATTCATGTCTGAAAACTTATATTGTTATATCAGGGGATTTCCAGTCATTAGCTGCTCAGAAGTAGTAGTCTCCTTGCCAATCGTCTTTGATGTCTGGCCTAACTTCAATCACTTATGGATCGTGTTGTCTTAGATTGGTCTTACTTTGATAGTTGAATGATCTTCAAACACCAATCTCCTTACTTAAAATTTAAAACATCCTACATAGTTATTCAGGCACTGATATAAGTTTGTTTTTTGGAATGATTTTTATGTTCATTGCCTCTGTATTTGTGCACTGGGTTTCTAGTTCTTAGCTTTCCATTGTCAACTTTATTTGTCGTCACTCACTACTTTTTAAACGTTACGAGGATTCTGCCCGTTGTTAAGTAACGTACACAATCCCACTATCTGGTGAAAAAAATTACTGTCGTGAAACCGAATATTCAATCGAAATCAATCATTTAACCATATATATTAAATGAGTTGACAAGTTTTACGGTTCACCAAGGTATAGCGACGCTTTGCAAGTCTAACTATTTTTTTCCGCCCACGGAAAATGTAAAGAACTCATCCATTTAGTAACTTAGTAGAAAACACACTTCGTCAAGTAATTTTTAATAGTATTAAAACTTGGGATCCGTAATAATAAGGGATTTTATAATTTCGTGGTCTGATTGGAAAGCATCTTTGAACTTGCTTATTTTCGACCACTATGGAGATGAAACGTTCACTTTATATATTACTTACTACTGGAACCACATTTAATATGTCTGCACATTTACTTACTGCAATCATATTCTGATGGTAGTAGTTTTCTTAGGATTTAAAGCCAATTTTAGATTTTACTTATTAAAAATGTCAAATGTTTCAGATGTGGATTTCGCCTGAAAGCGACTCCTAAAATACCATGATTTTCTTTCTCTTCTGTACATATCAGGAGATATCGTTTACTAGCATCACTTATAAAATAAGTTTATGGCAAAATGATGTCCAATTTAAAAATTCAACTGTATATTATTACGATACAAATCTACTGGATGGCTATGTTGGCTAAGCTAAGGCATTTTTTATGATAAAGACTTTAGAACGACTGGGTAAATTGCTGATTGTTTGATATACTAGAGAATGCCTAACTGTATATGCTTATATTGTATTACTGCCTCCTCATATTATTCAGGAACTGAACTAGCCTTTATACTTTACTAGTGTAAAGGAAACTGTAAACTGTAGGTTGAATGGCTGAACTTTCAATTAGTGAGATTCAAACGGAATCTCCTTCATGCGAAAAATGGGGTTCATACTTTTTTTAAAATTCTGTAATTTGATAATGAGCTTCTTGAATATTTATTTCATCATTGCATTGATAGAATAACGTTCCAAATAGTATAACGGTACTGTTTTCTTAATCGTCCGTTTATTTAACTGAGTTTTATTGAGATTGTTTTCACGACAGTTCACAGTCAATAGAATTTGAATAAACAATATCGCCTTTTTTCTATTTGGAATCGTCAATTTTAGGAATCACTAACCACGAAGAGTACTCATTAATAAGGCCATCCGACGAAGATGAAAAGATGCGCACACTGACATTGAGGAAAGGCAGAGGCAGTATTCGAAACTTGGAGAAATTAGAGAAGATGAAACAAAAGTTGCATACGGATGATGAATGTAGGTCACGGGGATATATATATATATATATATATATATATATATATATATATATATAATAGCAGTGAACGAGATTTTTTTTCATATTCTAGATTTATTTTATCAACCATGTTATTTATGTAAATATTCTTGATGATCATTTTAGTCTAATTGAATCTTATATTGTAGAATGACAACGTTTTTCTGCTTCAAATATTTAGCACGACATTTCTTTATTTGCGTGGATATAATTTGTACTTAGTGAACAATGAAATTGTAAATAGAAAACGCAGTTTTTTAAACAGTTAAACGAAGGCTAAAAGTGATTTGATAACAGTTGAATGATCAAAGGTTCAGTTAACTACACTATATCGTCATGAAAATAATATAACTGAGTTGGGATTTGCTTTTTAATTTTCCTTCTGTTTATTTCAATACTTAGTGTGTCTACTAAGTAATATTTTCAGCTATTTATTTCACCCGGTTATAATCTGCTGAATAAAAAGTTTACATATCAGTTTTATCTCCGGATTATGCGTAAATTGCTTTATATAAGGTGTTTTTTTATTTTAAAGTCCATATGTTTTCGAATCATATTCTCCACGCCTAATCTTTTCCGTTACCATTGGCTACTTATACTTCTCTGGCGTCCATCTGTGCTGACGTGATATAGCAGCTTGAGCTGATGAAAATATATGATAGTCTCTACTTTGTGTCTAACTGGCTGACTTAAGTGTTTACTTAGTGCTAACCTATGATTTATGTTGATTTTTTATTTTTAAGTTAACTGGTTGGCGCCTGGCAAAACGCTTCGTCAACATGGAGTTGATGAATCAGAAATCCTTCTTCTTCGAAGGAAGTATTTTTACTCTGATCAAAATGTAGATACACGGGATCCTGTTCAACTAAACCTTCTTTATGTACAAGTGAGTTTACTTTGCACTAATTGATTAAACAGCACCGCAAATTTTAATATCTTTTTAATGTGTAGAAATGGTGAGTGTTCTTAACTTTTCTGATATAATGCTCATTAGGTTGGATACATTATCAGTTATCCTACCTTTTTGAACTGGTTTTTCAGTTACTAATCTTACTACTCGTAGACTTGAGTTAGTTACCTTGAATTCATATAGTTTTACTGCATGTCTTTAGTTTCAGTCTCTGCTAAGGACTAATTTTATCATCTAGTTGAGTGACAAATAACTCTCATATACATGAAAAAATATTACATTTATCTTTTGAATCACTTTATTTCTTCTCAGCTGAAAATACACTTTCTTGAAAAAAGCAGGCGATTTTCTTAATGGGCTATTTCCTGAGCCTTTTACCTATAGGTCTAGTCCACAAGGCAGTGTAGCAGCATCAGTAGATGGAGTCTCATGATAGCAGCTGATCAACAACTGGTTCATACGCAGTTCGTTGCATCAGAATCCTGGAGCCTTTATGCAAAACTGGTTCGGAATCGAAGCCTATGAGCGATGTTTTGTGGTGTAGGGCTATGCTGGAAGAAAGCTAGGGGCAGCCAGTCAAAAACGGTACAAATCCATGAAGTCTCTGACAACTGGACTGAGCCATGTTGGTAGGTGTAGACTAACTGGTTGAGTTCCGAGAAATAATTGTGATTGATGGTTAGAGATCCTGAATGACATGGCTCAAAACCGTTTGCATTGGTTCAGGTGCATTCATTCTTTGTGTTCTCTCGAATCCTAACCGTCTGAATTCCTCATCACCTTTATCTTTGTCGTTTTAAGTTTATTTCACGGGTTTATACTTCTTGAATAATTGCTTCTAACCCTAATCTCCATTACCGGTAATACTTTTACTATCTCCACCACTATGGGATTTGAAATGACAGTTATGTCTCTGTGCTAATGTAGTATGGCAACCTGAACTGACGCACATACCTACAAAGTTCTATGTTTACCTGACTAACTGACCAGGCTTCATACTGTTGTTGTCTGGGATAAGTTGAAAAAGCCTTCGAATGTTACCAAATGCAACTTTTGTTTCCAAATTATTAACATGTTGTGATAAAATGTTTCTTCTGTCTTTACTCAAACTTGGCGAAAATTCTTTACATAAGGACCTACGTTTGCCATCAGATTTACGGCTCCTTATAGTAGACTAGCGTGCCCTTACGAATAGTAAGTAGCTTAGAAAAATCCAGTGCTTCTAAGTGGGGCGTTTTGTGAAGTCACAAGCGACATAACCCACCATTCTAATAGTGTAAGGAAAATTCATTCATTGCTCAACCATACTTTTTCACGAACTGGCAACTGATTTGGAACTTAACAGCTTATCTGATTGCTTTGAAAGTTGTAGCCAACTCGCTCATATCAGTCCTTTTAAGATGATGGATTTGTGCGGCGTTTAAACTTGGAATAGGCTGATACTGATCAGAAACAGATTTAAAACTAGAGGTAGCTACAGAAGACGTTTACTGTGATCTGATCTGTGATCTTCGAGTCGCCATTGGTCTGTCAAGAGATTCTCCTCTCTTAGATGCCAAATTTACACTGTTAAGTATTCAGCTAGCACAAAAATACCTTTCAAATGCACCTTATTGGAAAGATAATTTACTTGTTAGTAGAATTCGCACTTGATTGCTTTCGGGCTGTAATCTTTTTTTGGGGGGCGATAGGCAGAAGTTACAGCGAGACATCTTTTCTCATGAGTTTTTTCTCACTCTAACCAAAAGTTTTAATTGGACTTCACATCAAGGACCGTTTTTGGGGATCCGGTTGATTTGTGTGGGACTGTGCTCTAGTGCTTAGTGCGACACAAACACCATCTGAACGGGAATAAGTTGTCATAGCGTCTCCTGATAAATGCATACAAAGCAAGCTTTTTGAACTGATTGGTAGAGAATGGATTTATAGTACTTCACTAGAGTCTTAATTACAGGTCTCGTAAATGCAACACGTCAATATTTAGGCTTTTCAAAGATGCACTTGCTGTTACTTGTTGTCCAATACACATCATTGTGCAAACGTTAAAGGAAACCAGTTTAACTGGCACATATGGTATCAGAGTAGCTGTATTCATTGGAAGCACTCATCAGTCTTACCGTTTAAGGATTTGAGATCGTTTAGACAAGATAGAAATTTCAACAGAGATAAGATACGGATTGATTTGAAACGTAAAATTATACCCCAGAATGGAAATAAAACAAAATAAAATGTTAAAGCTAGTTCAATTCATTTAGAATAGAGTAATTATGATCAACGTTTGAGTAGAGCTAAGCGAATAAAGCAATTTCTTAGTAATTATTCATTGACACATTTGTGTGCATGTTTGGATACTACTTGAGCGTCCAAATCAAAGTAAGTGGTTTTCTGAGATGACCACTTCCTGAGGTCCAGTCCACAAAAGCAACGGACAAAACGTCTTTTGAACAGGTCTTTAAGGACTCCTTACAACTATGTTAATAATACCGCATTTGCATTCTAAATCAATGCATTTTGTTCTTTTGGACATCGATGATACCAAGTAACCTGATTTACAAAGTGTTCTTTTGGTAAATCGCAGCAAGTATCCATTATCATTCGCTTTGAGGGATAGAAATTCTTCTACTACATTGTTGTTTATATAAATCTTTGAGATGTGTAAGTTGAGACGATCAGTCAGACTTATTTTTCTCTTTATATATATACAAAGCCATTGAACTTTGTCATATATTTATCTTTTCCGTATAATACTTGTATTTTATTCATGTCACAATTTTGAAGACAGTGTGCATCATGGGTTGAAATCAGTTGGACAGTTGTTGAAAGCGAGGGAGCACAGTAGCATATATCTGTTCCATTCTTCGTTTTTAAGACAATAAGCAAATTATTCATGAAAATGATTTGTATCGCTTTTTTTTACCCTATTTAATTTACAGCTTAAAGAAGCCATATTGAATGGTACACATCCTATATCACAAGATCAAGCCATTAATTTAGCTGCTTTACAATGTCAAGCTGAATATGGTCCAATGGTACCAGAGAAAATGAAACGAAATCCGATAGAGTAAGATTATTATTATTATTATTATCATAACGTTAAGTTTATTTTTTCACGTAAATTTGTTTGAAACAACTTTTAGATTTGAAAATTAATTAACCGTTAGATTGCTTGTATTTTTATGCCCAAGTATTTTTCAAGTTATAATTTTTTATAAAAAATTTAATTTACATACGTAGACATTTCTTATCGTTTATTTAGACAGTTATATGATCAATTCTTAGAGATTTATATACCATTCTATGAATGTTCAAACTAAGTTCTTATTTATTAGTTGATCTTTTGGAATATTCAGTGAAAAAATATTCATGATTATAAAAAAATTTTAAATTTCCCAATGAGTGGAAAAGCTAAAGGCAAATGGTTTCCATTCGCGTTTTATTATTTAATGCTTTATTCAAATAACAATAAACTTACTTATGCCTGTCACCCCCGATGGAGCATAGGCGACTGACCAGGATTCTGTAACCTACTCTGTCCTGGGCCTTCCTTTCGTGTTTTATCTTGTCGTTGTTCATTCTTCTCTTGTCTGTCTCCATTTCTCGACATAACCTGTTCTTTGGTCTTCATTTGGTCTTGAGGATTCCATGTGGGGGCTTGTCTTGTGACACAGTAGGGTGCTTTCCGCAGTATGTGTTCTATCCACTTCCACCGCTTCTTCCTGATTTCTTCCTCCCCTGCAACCATACCCACATTAGTACTTCGAGTTATACTTATCCAATTTAATTCCAGCATAGTAGAAGTAGTTAGTAATAGTATCAGTAAAAAAGAAAAGTTTGTGTAGTTTTGTAGAGCTTAAGTCCCTCAAGGAATTAATAGAGCATAACCAAACTAATGGACTGTTTTCTAAATTTTTTTCTTTTAAGAAAAATTGATATTTATCTACTTCCATGTCATTGTAATTATTATTATTTTTCAGCTTAAAAGATCGATTGCCTAAAGAATACATTAAATCGAAAGGTATTGAAAAAAGAATATTAGAAGTGAGTTATTAATTATATATGATGAATCATCATCATCATTTACTTTTTATCAAATATTAATACAAATAGATTAATTTGTCTATATCTCATAACCGGATAGTTTTATTACTTCAAAACATATGATTCCCGCTGGACGCTCATCGATTTGATTGACGGATCTTATATTATCAGCATAACTTAACCATTCAGAGATCTTAATTACCTTCAAAATTAACGCACACAATTAATTATCAGTAACATTTAATAAAAATTGATAAAAATTGAATTCACTCTGATTTTTTACTAATTTTCATCATCAAAGCTTCTTGTGTGCGCTCTGTTTAATATCTTGCATACACACTGTTAATGAGTTGAAGATACAGCATTAAAAATAGTTATTAGCCGAATGCGGCTTATCTTATCAAGAAAGTTATCGTGGTTAATCTTAAAATAAACGATTATTCATTCATTCTGTTTTTACTTTTATTTTATGTACTAAGTCAGCCCACTCACATACTAGTCATTGATTTCATTTCTCTGTGATGAGTGTGTGTGTGTGCATGTAGATTAATTGGAGAAAAAAAATAGTAATAAATAAACATGCATGGGATTAGTCAGAAAATACCATGTTCCATGCCTTATCATACCGATATACATAATTGTAAATTTTTTCCCATTCACCTGATTGTGGGACTGTTGCTTCCTTTTTTTTGTTTCTTTTTTCGAAAGCAAAGAAATTATGAATACTAATTAATAACAATGATGAATAATATTTAATCATCAGTCAAAGTGCATGCATATCGCTTTTTCATCAACTGAATGTGTTATTTTATTATGATAGTGTGAAATGTATATGTATATCTATATATTGATGCATAGAATTAGGCAAATTTTATATTTATGTAGGTTGTTTATGTTCATTTGTTCTATTTCTCTACTTGTAACCTTATTGACTATGTGGAATAATTCAGAAAATTAATTTCTTTCAGTAATCAAGTAACAGTTCATGTACTTTCATTACATAAACCAGAAATTATTCAATCAAAATCAAAACATACACCTTAGTAGTTGAAATTCTATCTATTTATTCACTAAATTAACTGTTGGTCTGTCAGTTACAACGTAGAACTCCGTAAGTACATTAGTTCAAGTTGCCTTACCAAATTAGCACAGAGATGCAATTGTCAATTCAAATCCCATAGTAGTAAAGATAGTAGAAGTATTACTGGTAATGGAGAAGATTAGGGTTTGAAGGCATTATTCAAGAAGCATAATTTAGGGAGATAACTTTAGAAAGGGAAGGATAATAAGGAATTCAGAAGGTTAGCATTTCAGAGAACACAAAGAGTGTATGTACCTGCGCCATTGCGCTTGATTTTGAGACATGTCGTTGAAGGTCTCAAACTATTGGTGCCTTTCTGCTCGCGCACTCCATCCAGGTAGCCTACATCTTTAGTGACTCACTACTGGACTTCAGTGTAGACGAATGATTGAGTGTGCAATGAAATGTATCTTCCTATCCACTTCTGTATATTATACTTGGGCTAACTCCTTTTGTGTGACGGTGGTAGTAAGAAGCCAAATACGGTGTTGCGGATGAATTTATTTCATGCATTCACTTATGCAGACAAACATTAGAAGGAAAGCGTACAAGTTAAACGAAGCGGATTGGAGAAGGCGAGTGAGCCAACTCTCCATGAGCTGAAGAGTGACTAAGTATTTATAGTAAAGCAATAATAGGCTTTCGTTTGAATTATTGGTGAGATGCTACACAACTACCGACATGACTCAGTCCACTTGTCAGTGACTTCATGGATTTGTGCCAATTTTTTGGTTTGGCCGCCCCTTGCCTTGTTGCAACCGACTCCTACACCGCCAATAAATAAATAATTTACCATGAGACATTCAATCAAATGGACGATAAAATAATTTCATATGTTTTTCATGCTCGTTCCATCTCATCAGTCAGTTGCAACGTAGAACTCAGGACATGTGTACATTGTTTCAAGTTGTTACACTCCCATTAGCACAGCAAGATAAAGTTGTTAGGACAAACTCTAGAGTATTAGATGTAGCAGTGTCAGTGATAATCGAGAAGATTAAGGATCAAAGACACGATTGAAGAAAATATAAATTAATAAGGTTTAATAATTATGAGGTATTTAGTAGCTCAGAGTCTGGGGGAAAACAAATAATGAATGCACCTGTGATACACTGCAAACCATTTCAAGCCATATCAATTAAAGTCTTTAACCATTGGTTGCAATAATCACTCGAACCACACACAGACAGTCTACATCTGTTAACACCATAGCCCAGTCAATGACTTAGTTACTTCATGAATCGATACCATGTTTTTTGGTTTGGTAACCCCTAACTTTCTTTCAGCTAACTCTTAAAACAGACTAAATTACTCGCCCTTATTCTTTTTAAGTTTCTTTTTTTCGAAAAAAATGATTTTCATAAGGTTTCCAAATATTAAGAGTTTTTTCTAATTATTTTCTACTGCGGTATTATCAATATACTTTTCTTATTAAGAAGTTAACTTTCGCTCTGAATAAATTTCAAATTTTTTTTCATTAATCTAAACTTCATTCAGCAATATCAAAAGTTGGGCAATTATGATGAAAAAGAAGCTAAACTACGCTATGTTCAATTATGCAGATCTTTACCGACCTATGGAATAACATTCTTTCTTATAAAAGTGAGTATATATGTGCATGTATGTATAAATTGGTAAAAGATGTAATTGTTGTCGTTATAACTTAAGTAGTTTTTACTATCTCTGTTCCATCTTACCGTGGAATCAGTCAGTCAGTCAGTCAGTTACAACGTAGAACTTCGTACATGAGTACATAAGTTCAGGTTGCCATACCGCATCAGCACAGAAACGCGACTGTCAGTTCAGAGCCCATCGTGGTAGAGATAGTAGAAGTATTGGCAGTAATGGAGAAGATTAGGGTTCGAATGTATGATTCGAGAAGTATAATTCAGTGAGAGATAACTTAAGAAAGAGAAAGATAGAGATGATGAGAAATTCAGGGGATTAGAATTTGAGAGAACACGAAGAGTGGATTCACCTGGGCCATTGCAAACAATTTAGAGCCATGTCATTCAAGGTCTCTAACCATCGTTTACTTTTGTTTCGCGGACCCCAACATTGGAATAAATATATTCAAACGATCATACATGTTCTTTTCTTTGTTAGAATTAAAGTTTACACGCACGCACATATTCTTACATGTTTCTGGTTATACATGCTCCTGAAATAATATTGTCCAAATGTAAAATATTGACAATTGAATACTCTTTGTAATACCGCCTAGACAGAGCACCCTCATTCAAACGTAAAAAAATATCATTATTACTATTATTATTATTCGGAACATTATCCTTTGTAAATTAGTTTATTTCATATTTTCTTTGAAAAGGATAGAATATTGATTATATGGTTATGCTATGTTTATGATATCAATAGAATTGAAACTCTGAAACTTTGAATCATCAAATTTCAATTTTAGACAATGCTTTTCTTAAATTTCCATCTGAACAGTTGGATATTATATACTTATGACTTTAGAAATATATCTTAATACACAGAAAATTTTAAAAGTATTTTCAAGACAAATTAATATTCTTTGTTCTGTTTTTTCTTTTACCGCCAAACAATTTCAGATAGTATTGACTACTTACTGTTGAACACTAATTCTTATGAACACAATCTAATGAGAATTTACACTCTGTACACACTATACACTTTCTATTTGACTCAGCAGCAATAACAGAAGAACACTGTCATGACATTCCAAATGGAGCTTGTCGTATAGTGTTTCTTTTTTTCACAGATTTCTATCGATCAATAGTGAACTTTATTCATTAATGAAGATAGTCATTTTGAAGTGGATTGGCTTAATGCTTACAATGTATAATTTGAAATGATTATACGTGTATCATACAGATTAGAATATTTTTCGAATCATATCTTCACCCGCTAATCTTCTCCATTGCTGCTAATAATTCTACTATCGCTATCACTCTTGGATTTGAACTGACAGTTACGTCTTTGTGCTGACGTGGTATGGCAACGTGAACTGATGTACTTATGTGCGAAGTCCTGCGTTGTATCTGTCTGTCTGTCTATCTGACACAGATTAAAATTATTCTTTACCGATTTCGGTTTAATTAGCCAGGCATAGTCTCTATAAATTTGATACTGAAAATGTCTAGCAATGATTTCGTTTAAAAATCATTATATTTCATAAACAAAAATATTTTTACATTAACATATCGGTTTTTATACTCAAAAATATCAGCATAGTTAGTTGAAGAGATCAATTAGCGCTGTGAAACTAAATGAAAAACATTTTAGAAATGCATTATATAGATTAACTGATTGTTCATTAAGTTATTCGGCATTCGATAATAATAATAATAATAATAATAATAATTATTATTATTATTATTATCGTTATTACTATTATTATTTCTAACATTTTTGATTAGTAATTTATTAGCTTGCCCATTAATACTACATACTATTTATATTATTGGAATATAATGACTGCTTTCGAAAATTTGGTCATATTTATCAGATATTGAATAAAGGTTCTCCTGTGAAGTGTGAACCTTATACTAATAGTTAATATTTGGAATCATGAATCGATCAATGTTAGACCACCATTAGAAACCTGGAAGCACTGAAAGACGGCCGTTTCGTCGTGGTACGGGACTCATCAGCAGTGCGCAATTACCTGTACTCACTAGTGACTAGATCCATGAGGAAACTTCTCCGACTTCTAGTGGGAAGTCATGACCAGTGAAGTTCAACCTGTTCGGTTGTAGACAATAACTATCGAAGACAGTGTATGAGGTTGCGCAACTCCGTGAATTGATGGGAGTTACACACTAACACCTTTCATTTTTCAAAGAAAATAAAAGGGCTCTGTTATAAAATTCTCACTTAGTAGTTATTGTATGATGCTTGATGATTAGCATGTCACAGAATATTTCACGGTTGACTCTCCTTCATAATTTACTTCACCTAGCCTGATGATATCACTAGTAGTTCATTAATAAGATTTAACTTAAAGCCTGAGTACAGTAGCTTGTATCTGATTAATGAGTTGCACAACGAAATCACATGAGAAATTTCCGCTCAGAATCCTAATTCTGTATACTTTTTTCTATTCTATGTAATGCCTTTCCGTTTTTAATATGTTACAACGATAAAAGCGATTGATGATTTTGTAATAAGTGTTTTATGAATTTCTATACTGTTCAACACAAAAGCTGTGGATAGTGATTTTAGAAAAGTCATATGGTTTTTGAATCAGATATTAAATCATTAAGATTGATGAAGCCTGATGGTAGGTAAAGCGATCGACTTGTTTGACTGTTATGATCGCTCTAATTTAGATACGATTAGATGTTGGCTAACGGAACATAGACCAGTGACAGGAGAATAGAACAGCTTATCTATTCTCTGCCGTCTAGCCCAATTAACTGGAGCAAGAAATACAAGGTCAGCAGAAAGATTAGACCCAGAGTGAGTTCAGACCTGTACGTGGCTTTATAGACCACATATTAAAATCACATCAAGTCATGGAACATGGATATGTTGAGATGTCCCACAGTAGTAGTATTTCTTGACCTTAAGGCGGCGTTTAACTGTGTTGACCATAAAGTTCTCTGGCAGTGTCTGTCATTGAAAGGTGTATTAAACAAGTACATTAACCTTGTCCAAGCTCTTCTCCATTCTTATTCAACTTTGTTATTGACGAATTCTCAAAGATATTATTGTCATCGTCTGAATTTTTAGGAGTTCACCTTCTACCAGGAGACTTGCTTGTTTACTTAGAATATGCCGATGACATAGATCTACTTGGTGGAGACGCTAATAAAATGCATAGTCTTCTGACCACCCTAAGCAACAATGCAAGCATGTTCGAGATGCGATTCTCCCCTTCGAAATGCAGAATTTTGTTTCAGGATTGGGTTGCGTCGACACCTGAACTAGTGGTAGGGAGTGAAGCAGTTAAGCCTGTTGACTGCTTCTCTTATCTGCGGAACCTCAATAATGCTGATGGTCTGGAGTCTGATGATTTCTCAGCACAGGTGCATGTGGCTCTATTGGCTTTTGTCAACGTGCGTCATTTACGGCGTAGACAAGATATCCGTCTCCTAACCAAAGGACGAGTGTACTGCGCAACAGTTCTCTTCATCCTAATTTATGGCTATGAAACCTCGTCAGTAAGAGTGGAAGATATTCATAGGTTACTGGTTTTGATCGTAGGTGGCTTCGAAGCGTTGCCCATGTGTCCTGGAACCATCGAGTAAGCAGTGCTGTCGTTAGGAAATGGGAACTAGCTAAGGATAGCAAATCAATTGGTGAAGTATTGAATGTTCATCAGTTGATGTGGTTAGGACATATGAATGCCCAACCACCAACTGCCTCGAAGAACGATGTTTTGTGATGTAGGGGTAGGCTGGAAGAGAGCTAGGGGTGGCCAAACTAAAACACAGCTCAAATCCATGAAGTCACTTACAAGTGGACTGAGCCATGTTAATATGTGTAGACAGCCTGTTTGGGGTTCACGAGACAAGAGTAACTGATGATTAGAGACTGAGTTACATGGCTCAAAATCATTTTCAGTGGCGCAGATGCATTCATTCTTTTTCTTCTCTCAAATCCTAAAATTCTGACTTTCTCATCACCCTCATCCTTCTCTTTTTAAATTTACTTGACTGGGATATACTTCTCAAATCATATCTTGCATCTCAAATGATTTCCATTACTGCTAAAATTTCTACTACCTTAACTATCATGGGATTAGAACTGACAATTAAATTTATGTGTGTTAATGTGGTATAGTGACTTAAACTTGATGTACTTGAAGTACTGATTTCGAATCTCTTAAAACTATATTATTTAAACATTGAAATATACTTCATATTACAAGTTACATCACATGATATCATTAAAACATATCGATATTAGGAAACAATATGAACTAGTTATTCAACCAATTTAATCGCTTATTTGGTTGTGATTTTCGTTGAGTATAATCTACTTCAAAGGCGGTAATGATCAAAACTACACAAACTGTAGTATTGTAATTAAATTATAAAAATTGATTATTGATCTACTGAAATTAGTGTTACTTATATAAATTTACTAAAATGATGTATATATGTATATCTACTTAATAACGTTTAAATGTATCCTTAAAAATAAATTTGATAACATACTTTTATTTATTGTAATCATTTATATTTGGATATGCATATATATATATATATATATATATATATATATATATATATATATATATATAGTATTATATTATCAGTATACTTTGCTACTAGTTAAAATAGTGATTAATTACTTATTTCAATTAGTCATTGAGTTGGCATGTTAACGAATGTGGTTTATACATTATCTATAAGTTTGCTTGATCTTTCCAAACATTTTTTCTATGTATGCTTGCTGGGATTTGACTATATAAAGTTCACTAACTGTTACACTCGTCATTAGTTATGCTTAAAACTATTAAGAGTTCATCTTAGTCGATAAACGAGAACGAGACAATGAACCAGCGTCCAGGTAGGCTAATTTGATCCGTTGGCCCCAAAATACTAACGAGAAGTCTAGATATAGTAAGGAAAGTGTATTCTACAAACACCCAGGCAGCACACAAATCGCGTTTATTTATGCACTATAGAGACATCCTTGAGAGAGTCACAAAATAGCACACTAAAATAACACAATAACCAATCACAGCCAAGGATTTTCGTGGTGGGGAATGTGATCTCAGGCTTAACTGATCAGCCCATGAATACAATCCCAAGTAAGGAAATATATCATGCGAGTTCTGGGGATCTAACACCCCCCAACACTAACCTACTTGGAAAACAGTTTTATAAGCTAAGGTAAAATCGGAGTCGAACCATAGCAAATGATTCTGAAAATTTAATTATTTGTCACTTAGAGCACCAAGTAGATAGATATTGTTTTATTTATGGCAATCATATCGGGTATTTAAGCACATTGGTAATAAAATAGTAATGTTTACTGTTTTCTTCTCGATATTATAATTATGTGTTTAATCTAAATTAAAAAATTATATCTATTTACTTTTTCTTGCTATCTGTTTGGATTAGGTTTGGTAACACATGTCCCAACCACCTCAACTGATGTAGTTTCACTACTTCATCTATTGATCTTGTACTTGTTTCCTAACTATAGCATTCGTTAATCGGCTGTCCCAGGATATACGAGAAATGCTTCGAAGATATCTGTAATCGAATACTAATAACCTACGGATGTCCTATACTCTATACTCGGCCATTTTGCGCATCCATATAGTAGGACGGAGCGAACTGCTGCATAGTAGACTCGTCCTTTGGTTAGCAGACGGCGTAAATGACACATGTTGACAAAAGCTGACTGAGCCTTCTGTATCCGTGCTAAGATTTTGTCACACACCAGGCCATCAGCGCTGATGAGACTCCCGAGATAAGTGGAGCGCTCGACGTGCTCAACCACTTCACTACCTATAACTAGTTTAGGTCGCGATGCAATATGTTTGCTCATTATTCTTAACCTGAAATTTTTATGAAAGTTGCTGGATTTTATAGCTTACATCACTAACGGACCTTAGTTAGACAACCAGGAAGCGTTGGACAATTGTTTCATTCTCTTATAAAACTCCTCAACAGCATATATCTATGACCACATCAGAGTTAGAATCTGAGACCTGGTCTCATGTTGAGAGCTTTTACTTTGAACCACTAAGCAGGAATCGACTTGTTTGTATTTATAATTTGATCCACAACATGAGACTGTGGATATCCAATATCATCAGTGGTAGGTAACTGCATCAAATAATTTAGTTATATTATTTAAAATAAACTAATATAATCTTCAATCTGCAAATAAATTGCAACTTCTACTCACTATGTTTTGAAAGTATACATGTTTGCAAGTTCAAAATTCAATCTCACGGTTAGCTAAGCTGAATTAAACAAGGTGAAATTCGAATTATGGTTTGAAATTAAATGTTTAAACTGCTCGTCGAAAATATGTTCAACATATTGGTATATTATTTGAGAACTATCATAAAATGGGTTCTTTGTTTTGTATGGTATTCAATAGTATATATCATGTGAATAATTTTTGTATACGGTTCAATGTTTCTTTTGTTCAATTTTCAGGAAAAATTAAAAGGTCGTAATAAACTAGTACCACGATTGTTTGGAGTAAGTAAAGAAAGTGTCATGCGTGTAGATGAGAAAACCAAGGAAATTATCGAAACATGGCCATTAACACGTATACGTCGATGGGCTGCTACTGCAAATCTCTTCACTCTGGTAAGTATGCATATATATGTCTATGTAAATCTAAACATAATTACTGTTAAATACAACTCTTCTGTTTTTGAAAAAAATGTTTTTAGTGCATCCTTAAGTTTAGTGATTCATTAAGACAGATTACTTGAAATCTGTATTAGTCTGGATTGTCCGATTATTGATATCTTTGACTGGAATTTTTAAAATCAGTCTTTGTTAACAGATATATTCAACTGTTAATTCGCGAACACACATCCAATGCTAATCGCACTTCATCAACTTTTGGACATTTCATCCGATGTAATATTTAAAGATTGTCTAAATACTTATTTCATGGGTTTTTGTTAATTCAATGATGTTCATCATTTTATGTTATATTTTAACATATATTATTTGCCTAGAGACATTCAATACATTAATATACTTTCTAAAGTTTCTGCGCTGATTGATTACACTAAGTAATAGTTTTATATTTCTCCACTCTTTCTTTATTCAGATGTACAGTTTTTAATGACACTCAAGTTATAATATTATCATGCTCAATTAATGCACTGAATATGTCATCTATTTACTCAGTCAACCATACGCAAAATAAACCAATACAAATATGTGTAAAGTTATAAGTTGTCACATAATATTAGCAAGAAAGTATCAAGACAAATGTGGATTTAGTAGAAATACTGTTAGTTATAGTAGAAAACATTTTGTGTAAACAGTACAGGTCGATAGAAAAAGAACTAGTTTGTGAATTAGAAAAGTTTGAGTGGAGTTCGATGCTGTCGGGGTGGGAAGCAGTGCCCATCGAAGACAGTAGATGAGATTGCGTAAGACCATGAATTGATCGAAGTTAGACATTAACACCGTTGGATGCCAGCTCAATGGTTCAGAAGTTAAACGTCCGCTTGCAAGACTGAAGGTCCTGGGTTTGATTCCCAAGAGCATGGGTTGTGGATGCGTACTGCTGATGAGTCCATGAAACGGCCTTTCCAGTGCTTGTGGGTTCCTAATGCCGTTCCAACAATAATCAATTCATGATTTCAAAATGATCTTGAAACTCTAAAGCTAAGAGGAAAAAGCGTATTAGTGCATTTACACAATTGTGACAGTTTCCTGTCTATGTCATCCAATGTCTCTAACCATTGATTACGATAATTCCATCTACCTCAGCCTGGTAGTGTGTATCTATGAGTACAGTCCAGTTTAACTATCAATAACTCCATTAGTTGCGGTCCATTATACAACCATATAATAGTATTAATTTGTTAGTATATATGCGTTATTCGAGAAATTTTAGTTGTTAGCGAAGTTTAGAGAAACCGGTCTCCATAATCCGTTTTATTAAATGAATCTTCTATAATTATCGAGTTCAGCTGTTGCAGTGAATTCCTCATAAAATGTCATCGTCATTTGGTCTATATAACGAACCTTAAATCTAGGAACAATTGTAGAACATTTATTTATTTATAAATAAGTATTTCTATGTTCGTCATTCTTGTTACAATAACTTACGATTTACTAAAATCTCATTCCAGTAATGTGTAAATTAACCCGTAATTATTAATAAATTAGATTACAATTTGCATACTTCCTGTATAATTTTTATATAGTCACATCACATTTTATCTTCAAATTTTACAATACATTATTTTAAAATTTGTTAAAAAACAAATAAGGTTATGATCGAAATTTCCACTTTAATTGTCATATTATTTTATTGTATGATTTGTATTTGTTTTTGAGGTCATGCTTTCAGGCAAAGAAACTCTAAACGTTTTGATGCATTGGCGAAAAGTTTTTTATGCATATACATACAGATATTTGTGTTTAAGATGGGCGTCTACATAGTTCAGGGTCATTCGTTTGGTAACAATAATAGCCTCACATTGTATACTCTTCTAAACCATTTAAGATTTTTTTTAAAAAATAAACAATGTCTTAAATGAAAATATTATTTCATGGTACGAATATCTACAATTGTTGACTGTCATTTTATACTGACATCATATATTGTCTATTTATTTCAATACAACTATTTACGGTCAACTAAGAATTCGTCAATTTTTCCCTTCATTACTGTAAATCTTTGAAATCATAAATCGATCAATGGTAAACTATCATTCGAAATCTGGAAACACTGAACGGCTATTCCATCTTGGTATGAGACTTATCAACAGTGCTTGTTAATGACTTGTTCTCCTTGCAGTAGTTGAACTCAGGACTTCCATTCTTACGCGCGAACGCCTAATCTTTAGACATTTGTAAAACCTTAACTAGCAAGTTTGAAAATTCTCCACAAAAATGCTGCAAATCATCTGCAAATGTACACAATAAATTATCAATTTAAAATTTGAGCATAACAATCTTTGCATTACGGGGTTGTGAAGATTGTTAAGTTACACATTTATGAAACCATGAATCGATCAATGTTAGACCACCATTAGGAACCTGGAAGCTCTGGACGGCCGTTTCGTCCTGGTATGGGACTCTTCAGCAGTGCGTATCCACGACTCCTGCACGCTGCAGGACTCGAACACAGAACCTTCGGTATTGTGTGCGAACGCCTAACCATCGTACCACTGAGCCGGTATTTAACGGTGTGAATGTCTAACTTGATCAGTTCACGGAGTTGCGCAACCTCATACACATTCTTCGGTAGTTACTGTCTACACCCGAACAGGTTGAACTTCATTGGTCACGACTTCCCACTAGAACTCGGAGATTCCTGATGGGTCTAGTTACTAGTGAGCACAGGTAATTTGCATTACGGGGTTGTGAAGATTGTTAAGCTACACAGTACCGAAGGTCCTGGGTTCGAATCCTGCGGGGTGCAGGATTCGTGGATGCGCACTGCTGAGGAGTCCCATAATAGGACGAAACGGCTGTCCAGTGCTTCCAGGTTTCTAATGGTGGTATAACAATGTTTCTTAAAAGAAAAGGAAACACAGTCTAAAAATGTAATTGTTTTATCTTAAACTATATTTACAGAAAAAGACATTGAAAAATTCATTCTATACACAATTTTATTTGAATACGTGTATGTATATTCTTGAAGAAATTTTTACCAAACTCTATTAGATTATTTATTGAATACTTTTATAGACACTGATTACTCATCTTGTTTTTTTTAATCTGTCGAAAGTCATTTTTTATAGTTATTGTTACTTGCATATCAACTAAACTGTTCTATTGTCTGACTAGCCGAATATATATATGCGCATACAGTAACATAAATGTTTCTCTTCAATTTCTTTCTTTTCTAACTGTTCACTTTAATTAAAAGTCTAAAATTTTGATCTTTTTCAAATATGAATTTGTTTATGTTTCTTAGAATTTCTTCTTCTTTTATTTTTTTTTACCGCTAATGCATTATTTACTCAAACCTACCCCCTTTTTACTCTTTTGAATACTTAGGATGATAGTTTATGATCGAGTAGTAGTAGTAGGTCACGAAATCGGTAGTTAAGACTATTGTCATTGTGGCTGGATGCAGTTAAAAAGGTAGACATCCTGATTTTATTTGTCTAATGCAAATAGACAGTCAATGAGTCATAGTTATTGCTAAACAATAAGTCAGATAGTGACAAATGTTGGTATCCCTGAACCGACTGCATATATTTTAAACCTAGTAAACTGATTGTAATTGTTACATATATATATATATATATGTATATATATGTATATATTTGTACTGAGTAGTAGTAGTAGTAGTAGTAGAACTGGTCGGCGGTTTATTCTCCATTAGAGGTTACAGGCGTATGTTAGTAATCTGTTTGTGCCTGTGTACACATATATTTACATCATATTCACTGCTGAATGATAAATTCATTCGATTTTCATCGAACACATTAATACTTCTGGATTTTGTATTGATCATGGACGTATTCTGTTCTCTGATCTAGATAGTCCCAATTGTGCTTACCATTATCTTCTTTCTAAAGTATTTGCTGATAGTGTTCTTTTAGACAGATAGTGAATGGTTTACAATTAAATCATCTTGCTGTAGAAATATTCTCTGTCAACTTGTATTCGCCGTTAAATGACAAATATGATTCTCAGTATGGAAAAATTTACGCACATTGCTGAATGTTATTGAGATCACGTGTTAACCTAAGTTAGAAGACTACTATTGATAACCAGGAAGTACTGGATATGCGACCCGATATGAGACTCCTTCATAGTACGTACATACAACTTCCCCTAGGAATAGAACAGAAAGCTTTCTAGTCTTGCAGCGTGCTAGCCTCCAAATGTTGTCTAATAATAATGACGTAACTATTTATTTATATGGACAAACATTTGAATGTATATTTAGTAAATATGTGTGTGTTTAAATAATTAGCTTATATTATTGTCTTGTATTTTATTTCGGTCACATTAGGAATAAATATTTTTTATTGGTTTCTTGTTGTTCAAGTTTTTTAGAACAATATCCATACGAATTTTATTGTAGTATAACTTGTCTGTATATTATTATTATTATTATTATTATTATTAACATGTATGTTTATTCACTGTTATTCACTTGTTTATTCTAGTAAACATTTTTTATGGACAAACATTTTACTAGTTGTACAAAGCACAGATATATATATATATATATATATATATATATATATACAAAATTGTTATTGTTCAAATTTTTCAGTGACATGTCTGATGTGGTATGCATTATCGAAAACACACATGCATATTATATTTGTCTACAAATAATTAATATTATTAATTCATAAACAAGGATAGTTTTTGGATTGGATTTTATTCAAACACTGTAGTTACCTAATCCAACGGAATGACTGACTTATAATATCAATTGATGCTAAATTTGTAATATCCCAATAAGGAAAAACAAAAAAAAACGAACTTCTGACCCTTTGAAATAGTTCAAGTTGCTTCTTCTTCAGAAACTAATTACTAAATTTATCTTGTTTTAGATTTTGAATGTCAGCTATTACATTACCGCACAGTAGTGTATAGAGTCAATGTTTAAAGTTGTAACATTTATTTCACAGTAAGAATTGAGACCGGAAGTTGAATTACTGGAAATTCGAAAATAAAGAAAAGCTTTATTACAGTAAGATGAAGCGTCTCCAAAAAACGTATTGATCCAAAACTTCAATTAGTTCGTTATGTAGCATAATTCTTATTTGATGTATTCCTTGAATAGCTTCATTCTTAATTCAATTACCTTAACTGATCACTTTTTTTAAGGTTTTGTGGTTCTGTATGTTGTGTTTATCGAAAGTAGAATGAAGCCGACCATCGAAATAGTAGCTTTTTAAGTTATTGATACCTTTATTTTTCAGTTAATATCAATATTGTTAATTAGATTCAAGAAACAGGTTCTATATAAGAATTTAGAGTTAATCATCTCACTATTGTAGCTGTATGCGAGCTTGTGTTTTTAAAATCTGTGAATTTGCATTTACGATTGTTTCATTAATTATTGCAAACTCAAATATGAACTAAATCAAGCCTTCTTCAGAATTACTGCTAAGTGGTACTAATCATAAACTTCAGTTTTAAAACTGTTTATCCCTATCAATCCATGATGTTGCACGATCATGATCCATTGTCTTCAGTCAGTAACTACCTCGTATTCGATACGGTTAAGCTTCATTAATCACGGTATTCTACTACAACTTCGAAAGTTCCATCAAAAAGCTAGTAAATAGTGAACACATAATAGTTGTCAGTATGTGGTTGCTTAGATTATTGAGTTTCATTGAAATCGTGAGTCGATCACTATTAGATCACGATTGAAAATCTAGATGCATTAAATGACAGATTCGTCATAGAATGATGTCCTAACATTAACTCATTTCGTGTGCTTTTATGGGTATGAGGGCGGATGTTACTTCCCGGCTGCCCATACGATGAAAGCGTTTGGGTTGTCAGAAGGGACTTCGGCCTGATGACTTCCGATGGAACTCGGCTTTCATCATGAGACGTCATAATTCTTCTAAATGGAGACCTCCTTACCCTCAGAGCAGAGTTGGTTTCAGTTATTTTTTCTTGTTAGCATTTTTTAGCGAGTTAGTTTTTTTAAGGGATGGGGTCGCCAACCCCAATTCCAACCCTCCTCCTTTGTCCGGGCTTGAGACCGGCAGGAGCCCCGAAGGATCTACAGGCGAAGTTAACATTAACTCATTTAAACTCAACAACCTCCATAACCCCATACTAATAGTATGTATATCGTCTTCATTCCTGTTAAAAACTTTACTTTGGTTCATTTTTCGATTTATCATCTAAATAAATTTGTCAACTTATATGTATGAATATTTCTTATCCCGTTAGGATTTTGGTCAGTATAGTCCAGATGGAAATTATATTATGCAAACAACCGAGGGTGAACAAATTGCACAGCTTATATCTGGTTATGTGGATATTATTTTACGTAGACAACGTAGTCGTGATGGTGGTCAAACAGAAGGTGATGAAGAAAATACAATTATTGAAGAGAATATTACTCCATCAAAGTAATTTTTTAATTTCTATTAAATTTCATCCAATTATACTACTTATATAGAGAGCAGTTCGTATGCTTTTTTGTTTGTTCATTGAATGTTGGCTAGATTTAATTCATTGTTTAATTAATATTCTTAGTAATACTTTTTTTTCATTGTCAAAATGATTTTAATAAATATTGTAAATTGAAAATGTCCGCCGTCAGTAGTTAACTAGTCATAAATATTGTCGAACGCGTGACATTCATTGATCGATTCGATTCCAACAACCACGACCTCACAACAAGTCTTGTTTATGACCTGCGTGTTTCATGATATTGGCCAAGTGAAAAGCAAGCCAATAACTTACCAAAGACATTATATGCAGAAAACACTATTATCAGTTAGTCAGTTACAATCTAGTATTTGATATCTACGTACATCAGTTCAAGTTGTCATACCACAACATTATCGCTGAGTGATCAAATATTATTCATCTACTGGATTTAAAAATATCAGTCAATTTATTTAGGATGCTTTTTGTTTAAAAGTCTTGAATTAGCACACAATGATTGTCCCAAGTGTTTTTTGGTTCTTCAATACTTCTCCAGGTTATTTCAGTTCATCATTAAAAATCACTCGCAAGTTATGCTACTTGAATGAGGAATTTTGACATCATCTCTCATAATTCATAATAACATGATTATTAGTAGTTATTTTAAAGTGAAACAATCAATACTTTGTAGTTATTGTCTAATATTAATAAATTTGATCTAAACAATCTATTTTAATAGACGATTGTCAGCGTGGAATCACTTATTGACCTAGAATATGCCGATGACATAGTTCTATTCGGTGAAGACGCTGACAAAATGCAGTCTTCTGACTGTCCTAAGCAACAATGCAAGCATGTTCGGGATGCGATTCTCACCATTGAAATGCAAAATGTTGCTTCAAGATTGGCTTGCTCCGGCACTTGAATTAGTGATAGGAAGTGAAGTAGTCGAGCGTGTAGACCGCTTCACTTATCTCGGGAGTCTCATCAGTGCTGATGGCCTGTTGACTGACGGAGTCTCAGCAGGGATACAGAAACCCGATTGGTATTCACCAACTTGCGTCACTTATGGCGTAGGCAAGGTATCCGTTTTCTGACTAAAGAACGAGTGTACTGTGCAGCAGTTAGCCCCGTTCTCCTATATAGGTGAGAAACATGGCCAGTGAGAGTAGAAGATATTCGTAGGTCACTGGTTTTCGATTATAGATGTCTTCGGATCATTGCTCGTGTATCGTGGGACAACCGAGTAAGCGATGCTGCCATTAGAAAACGAGTACTAGGTAGGGGTAGCACATCAACAGATGAAGTGTTGAAACTTCATCAGTTGAGATGGTTAGGATATGTGTTACGAATGCCCGACCACCGACTGCCTCGACGAGTAATGCTATACGGTGTTGGTTTAGGCTGGAAGAAATTTTGGGTCGGCCAGACTAAAACATGGCTCAAATCCATGAAGTCATTGACAAGTGGACTGATTGATATTGGCAGATGTAGGCTACCTGGTTGGGGTCCGCGAGATGAAAGTGACCGATGGTTAGAGACCTTGAATGATGTGGCTCAAAATCGTTTGCAATGGCGCAGGTGCATCGACTCATTTTGTTCTATTCTTCTGGATTCGTCAACACCTCTAGTTGTCTTTTCAAAGTTATCTCACTGAATTATACTTCTCGAATCATATCTTCGTACCCTAATCTTCTCCATTACTGCTAATAATCCTACTACCTCTACTACTATAGGATTCGAACTGACAGTCGCTTCTCTGTGCTAATGTGGTATGGTAACCTGAACTGATGTGCGTACGAACGAAGTTCTACGTTGTAGCTGACTGATAGACTGACTTATCAGCGGCTTATATATATATATATATATATATATATATATATATATATTACAATTTAACAATATGTTGTATGATATTTTTGATGTCACATTGTTTTTTTTTCTTATTAACTAGAATTCTTTATTTATCAAAACCAGCATTACATTCAAATAGTTGAATAATTTTGTTTTATTCAATTCGATGTTAATATATAATTTCATACTTTTTAGTTAAAAGGCTTACAAGACTATTTATTTATTCTGAAATCGAAAGTTCATGCATTTTTGCCTTCTGAATATGCTGTCGTCTGTTTATTCATTGTTAACAAATTTTTTTAATTCAGTTTTTATTATTTATTTTGTTTAAATAATGCATGACGTTATACTAATCTGACTTGCTGAATACAGGTTTATATATATATATATATATATATATATACATATCCAACTTTGTCTCATAGTTTTCACATATTAGAGTTATAATTTGAAATCATCAATCAATCATTGTTAGACCACCATTAAAAACCTCGAAGCACTGCTCGACAGCCGTTTCGTCCTGGTATGGAACTCATCAGCAGTGCGCATCCACGACTTCTGCTCCTCGCAGGATTCGAACCCGGGACCTTCGGTATTGTGCGCGAACGCCTCACCTCTGGACTACCGTGCCGGCATCCAACGGTGTTAATGTCTAGCTCTGGTTGATCTAGGGATTTCGCGCGACCTCACCCATTTGTATTTGGTAGTTACTGCCTACACCCGACAGGGTTGAACTCCATTGGTCTCGTCTTCTCAACTAGAACTCCGAGGATTTCCTCACGAATCTAGTCACTAGTGAGCACTGTTACGATATTTACGGGCAGAGTTTTGGAGATTTGTGTTTTTACACATTTGAAATCATCAAATAAAATCATCACCGTCCAGTGCTTCCAGGTTTCTAATGTTGGTCTAATAATGATTGATTGATGATTTCAAATGTGTAAAAACACAAACCTCCAAAACTCTGCCCCAAAAGAGTTATAATTATCATCAAGCTGTTCAAGTAGAAATTAATTTAGTGATCTTATCACATGTTATTCAACTGTTAACAATCAAATACTTCTACTATATAGTCATCACCAACATTCCTATCTAATACAACTGGTACTTTACATAGGTGGGTGATTATAAGAAAATTCATATTGTAATAAATCACAGAAGAAAAAAGGATTTTGTGTGTGTATGTGTTGTATTATCTCAAATTTCAATAAAACCCAACTGCCATAGACTTTTTGTTGTTTAGTTATGTGAAAAATATCACTAAGAATCTTTCATATACCATTTATATCATTACTGAGTTTAATTTTTTTTTCCTTAGAAATCTTATAACTGAATATTTTAACATATCTTTTATCGATTTCCATATAGTTCATTTCATTTTTCTTCAAAAACTTATGATCCTCACTGTTCACACTTTTATGAAAAAAAACATACAAAGTCAAAAAGGTTTCGTTTATTTAGAATATTTATTAAAAACGTCAATAATACCTATATATATAAGATAATCAACAGGGCGTCTTTAATCAAATATATTTAGGATTTTTTCAGTATTATAAAGTCAAGGAAATTATTAAGTTTCATTGGAATTATGAATTCTTCATTGTTGTGCAATATCAGAGATTGATTAAAGTTAGACATTAACACCGTTGAATGTCAGCTCATCGGTCTCGGAGTTAAGCAAGACAGAAGGTCCTGGGTTCGATTCCTGCGATGAGCGGGGTCTGTGGATATACACAGCTGATGAGTATCATACTAGGATGAAACAACTGTCCACTGGTTTAAGGTTTCTATTGGTGGCATAACAATGATCGATTCATAATTTTACTATAAAATTCAATTATATTCCATGTTTTTCTTTTGTAAATTTGATTTTTGTTCTCATGACTATTGGATGATGGATAAGATAATAAAAAGCAGTAGCGAATTGATTTGATATGATAGTTAAAGTCAAATTTCTAGTTTCACTGTAAAATTTAATTAACCTGTATTTATTACTGATCACTCTAGACGGTCGATACGGTCTAGTTTCTGGTGTAATACATGTCGGATCAATCGTTTAGACCTATACGTTTAGAATACAAATATCATTCAAACAAGATATTGATTTTCAAAACGAAACACTGTATACATGCGTATGTTATAGGCTAAAAACTTCATTTGTAATATGTTTACTTTCGCTAACATCAGAATGTTGTCATAATCCATTAATCATGAGATTAACCTTTTTCAGAACTGATTTCTACTGAAAATCGTGTAAAATGCGCAGAAATCTTAAGCTCATTGAGATATTCCTCATGAGAACCAGCTTTATTTAGAAATTTTTTGAGATAGCAAGCAGTTTTAGTAAACTTGAGCAATGATTAGCATTATTATCCAGGATGCACGTTTTGTCCTATTTGAAACTCGTCAGTTGGTTTAACATCATATTTTGGTCTCCAATTTTCTCACCTTGACTCTAACTAAACATGTTGAGTTTCGAACATCCAGTGCATTATCTACACTGACTTACTAAGTCCAAGCTGGCAACTGTATAGCAATATTGAGCACATCAGCTATGGTTACACGGATCAATATATATATATATATATATAAACCAGTGTTCCCGTATAAATATCTAGTCATTTTTAATCTTAAAATACTACTTATTTATTAATTTCAATTTGTAGAGCTAATGTAATTGCCAATATGAATGCAACACTACCTCGTGGACATCGTGCTCAAGAAGCAAATTTATCTCATAGTGGTTTAATACGTACTGCAAGTCAAAGAGAAAATTTTGCTGAAGGTCATTTAGCTGTTGAAAGTCATACTATATCACGTCACAATTTAAGTGGTAATAATAATATTGGCTCTGGACTTATTGTCAATTCTAATGGGGATGTAACACCTGGTGGGAAATATGGTGTAAGTTATCACTATTTTTAGCTTTTCATTGCGTTTCATTTTATTACTAGACCGCCTCGCTTAAATCTATTTGTTTATGTTTTTTGTAATTCGATAATCGTTAGTTTTAGCATTTACACTAACCTGAATTAAAATGATACACCGTATCTAAAAACTTGTCTACAAGTGCACTGTATTTGGTTACAATTTTTCGGATTATGTTTTATTCATTGAAACACAAATGACATGTAAACTATTGAATACTGATTCACTTATCCGAAGGTTTGGCGCTCCCCATCGAACCTTCAAGACCTGCGTTCGATAACCAGTATGGTTATAGACGCCTACCGTCAAGTATTCCCCTATTAGGACGAGACAACTAGTTAGTAAAATCATGAATCAATCACTGTTATATCACTATTAAAAACCTGTAAGCACTGGACGTCCGTTTCGTCCCTAGTATGGGATTCATCAGCAGTGCTCATCCATGACCCTCGCTTTTCGTGAGCGTTGAACCCAGGACCTTCGGTTTTGCGTGCAAACTCTTAATGGTAGTCTAAAATGATTGATTCATGATTTCATTAATCAGCAACAATCTCCATAACTTTATAATGAAAAAACTAGTTAGTGATTTATGGTTTTCCATGGTTGTCCGTTTATTATCGATCCATGCTAAAAAACACATGCTTTTGAAACATGCAACCCATACACTCTCAGCAAATAAAAACAATTAAAAACCCTTTTTTTATATGCATAAACCATTTTAGTAATTATCGCTGAACTAGTCAACATTAAGTTATTGGTTCATTTGATTCATATTACTAAATTTCGTACAAAAAGAATCATAAATCAGAATACATAACCATGAACTTTGTCATTAAGTTAGATTAAATTTTTAAATATTAACTTTTGTGAACAAAAACCATAGGCGCTGGTGGTAAACTTAAAAGCGACCTCACCAAATGACCTTCGCTGCCTTTATCCTATTGGTTGAATTCAAAATAATATCATTATGTAGATGATAGTTTTGTGATTTTCTCTCACATTGTGAATAATCTATTGATTCTTCAAATGGAATAAAGTTGAAACTAAACATTATTAAATAAATAAGAAAAATAGCTTATGATTTTCTTCATTTTTTTATTCATTGATTTATTGATATTTGTGTAAAGAAAGCACAAAAAAATGTTTACTTTAAAAGTGATTGATAAATTCTTTATGAATACAATACTACATTGTGAATATATCATGACGGTTTAAACACTTTTTGTATTACTCACTATTTTTTTGATTACGAGTTAACGTACAAATAATGCTTATTCATCTATATTGTAACTGTTTGTTGTTGTCGTCTGTTGGTTGAATTAAACTTTTCACTCAACTTCAACATCGTATCAAACTAATTCTGTGATTTATATGGACTACATATGTACTTGACTTTATTGTCTTTATATCTTAGTTTAGTCACTTCATTCTCCAAGCAAATAACTAGTGTAGGGTATATGATAAACTCCTATATTTATTGATTTTCTTCTACGTATTTTAATTAGTTGGTGTTAACCATTTGGGATGATACTCAACTCTGTCGGTTGCATAAATAATACATTAATTAAGTCACTGCAGTTAATCGAAGGCTCGACTGGCTTTTGCCAACCTGCGTCACTTATAGCGCAGGCGGGATATCCGCTTGTTAACCAAAGGACCGGTGTACTGCGCAGCAGTTCGCTCTGTCATACTATACGAATGCGAAACATGGCCGTTAGGAGTAGAGGACATTCGTAAGTTACTAGTCTTTGTGATGCTTTTTAATTCTAACCTTCCGAATATTCCTCATAATCTCTAGCGTTTCTCCGTCTAAATTTATCTTCCACTGAATTAATACTTGTCGGAATCATAACGGCGCTCCCTAAGTCCTTATCCATTGCTTCTAATGCTTCTACTATCGCTATCGATCACTCTTGGATTTGAACTGACCAAGTTTATGTGATATGGGCGAAGTGAAACTGAGTTACTTACGTACGAATTCTGTGCGTTGTATCTGTTCTGTCTGTCAACTGCAATTGAAGTCGAAGTTTTAAAAAAACAATCCATTAGAGTCAATTCATACTGTTTACTACTTTATCAACTCCAGATATTCGTATCTGTTTTTAATTCCTATGGAGTTTATAGAAAATTCATAATCTTACTTATGCTTAATTTTCAAACTGAAAGCTCCTAAAATAGAGTTCGAACACACACAGAGACTGTTCTGTTGAAGTATAAGTATTTTAGCGGTAAAACGGTTATAGTTCTTATAAAAACTAAATCAGTAATAAATACAATGGTCACCTACATGACAAACTAAGGAATAGTTTTTTATGATAAAATATATTTAAAAAAAAAATAGTTGCGACTATAGTAGCATAACACTTTTCATACATTATATATATATAAATATGTATATACGTATGTATTATTAGATTTGAAAGTTGATACTTTACCTATTGGACAATAGTTGGTTTTTTTGAAAGGGAGTTTTCATTATTTTTTTTTGTTGGAAGACTTTTTTAGTTTATAATAAGTTAAATAATAAATCAATAAAATGTGCGGTCGGTTTTATCATTTGCATAATGTAATGTAGTGTACACATTACCAATCACTTATGACATTCGACGATATTTGTTATAATAGGAAACTTTATTAATACATTTACGTACAATGTAAATGTATTATATACATATATATATGTAGAATCCAAACTGAGGTTTGAACTGACGAATAACTGTCTACGTAGGTTAGATACGCGTCTTGCCCAGT